AACTCATTGTAATTTTTTCGTCAAGTCGTAAACATAACACTTAACATAGATTGATAGATTTATGATAGATCAACGTAGTTTCTTTTGGGTAAGGGGCATAATGCTTTAGAATTTGTACTCCGGAAACATGACCGATTTGATATTTTCCCTCAGCATGTATTTTCATAGACTATGTTATGCGGTCCTCATGTATGTCTGCAAAATTTCGTTAATTTTAAAGTTCCACTGTATCATACAAGGATAAGGACTGAGTCTTTTGCACAATAGTTAGCTAGTTCTATGGTTAGATTGACTGTCCAGAACTGGTCGTGGACGAATTCCTGACATAGTTTGATTTTGTATTACTGACAGAAGGCATTTCGTTTATGACCCAAAATGTCAACAAATTAGTATAATATCATGATAGATCATAAGGTTTGGTAAGTCTTTGCCTAACATCGTGGGTTTTCTCCAATTTCCTCCACTACGTTACTGAAATGAAAATGTTAGTCCCGAAATAACGTAAGTAGACGCTAAAAACCTTATCTCTTCTAGAGAATCACTTTATTTTACCAAAAACAGGTTCTAACTAGAACTGCGATGTAGTGATGACGGGTTTTACCGGTGCCACGTTACTCTTGAACTGGCGTCACTACCCAAAACAAAGAAAACGGTAAACAGATTTCCACATTTGCATTGCACACGTGTTTTAAAATGAACGCAGAATTAGCCTTTAAATCCAGCAATATCATTTCCATTTATACAAAGAAGTCTGGATACGATGACATCACTTCCGTTATCAACAAAATATTTAAATTGGATTACAGAAATAACCACTTCGATTGTCCTTTGCATGACAGAAACGGAATTAAGCCTTTACAAAGCCTTATTAAAATGCGAAAAACCTTAAAAAGTGATACTGACAAAATTGGTTATTTCTCGGCAAGGGAAGACACTAGAAACACTTTTTTGATGTCTATATGATCGTATTGATTCATACTATTTTTCCATTGAAATCAAATATCATAATCTTATACGAATAATAAATATCACTTACTTCAAACAAATATTTGTTTTTGAGACTAAAAATACAGTTTTTACCAAAATAACATTGCTTCCGGTGATAATGAAAATCTTGAATTTGTGTAATGAAATCGTAAGGCATCACAGGGTGAAAATTTTATGAAAATCGAATAAACATTGACACTTTTATGGACCAAAAACCTTGGAAAGCGACTTGTAGGAAATCGTCTATTTTGTGGTATCTGTATGGTCGTATTGTTTCATTCTGTTTGTTGATTGTAATCAAATATCACAATTTCAAAAATAACAAATAACAAATTTAAATAAAGTATGTGTTTTGCCGAAATGACGTCATTTCCGGTGACAGTGAAAGTGTTAAAATGGTTTGACCTAGTCATAAGTGGCATTAGGCATCAAATGGTTAAGAAAGAAAATAGAAAATCAAATAATAATTGATTCTTTTACAGGCAAAATAAAAGTGACCTATGCAAAACTGACTATTTCTCGGAAACTGCTCACATTACAAACTAATTTTGACATACATTTTCTTCGTGTGGATTAATGTTACATGCTTATGATAGTTACGAAGGAATATTTTAAAATATGAAAATCCTGAATGGGTTGTAAATAGCTCATTTTTACCCCCTTTTTCCACCTTTTGCGCCTGTAGTAGGGGCATTCGTCTTGGTCTCTCAGATTTTTAAAAATTAATATTAACTTGCGAAATGGCGTTCCGAACAGTCAAAATTACATCACTTCCGGTGCCGACAGAAATCTTTATCGGTAAAGAAAAAAATGACATTTGGGACCACAGAGCATATGAACTTTATTTTATACAAATCGAACAACAAATAATTAATCTAGGAACGAAAACTGAATTAGCCAGTGGCAGCTAGTGCAAAGTACTGAGAGAATATTTGTTCATATTTTTGTCCGAAGACCCTTTAATCCTGTGCAAAATACTATAAAAAAATATTCATAAATAAAAAAGATTTTTGTAAAAATTTAAATTTTCAAAATTTGGCGCCTAATATCTGCGAAGATTCGTCGAAAATCAAAAATCTAAACTACCGTAGCTATGTGCCCTGTCTCGGGCTATGTCAAAATGTATGCTATGTTAAAATCCGACGATTATTGTTAATATTACGGCAATATTTCAAAAAACGACAACTTCGGCGATTTCGGACATTTCGCATTGTCGCAGAACGATCGAAATAGCTTTAATCTCTAAGTCCCACTTACTTTCCCTGTAAGCCATCGAATTGATCCGACGAATAGTTTCCGAGATATGCTCAAGTGAAAAAAAAATAATAAGCAGAAAATTTTTAACAAAAACAATAATATTTCACACAAGCTACACAATGTGAAACCCTAATTAAGTATTAGCCTTCACGAGTTCGATGTTCCAACGTTTGACATTCTTATTGTCCTTTGGGTATTTTTATTATTATCAAAACAATGACCTTGTATGTATTGACATACGTGATAGAAAACGCCTTATAACAATCAAAATACAATTAGATATTGATAGATGTAATAGGTTTATCTAGAGGGATAATATGGAACAAAGGCTAATTAATATTTTACGCCATGTAATCAATCAAATCAGTGTCACTGTTATGTGGCCGATATATCATCTTTGTCAACATGGCCAATATCTTTATATAATATTTTTCAAAACATAAACACTTTGATTTATCTCAACAGTAGATACAATTAGTCCAGCCCAATTCATTATGACAATACGTTGGGTTTTTGAGGTTTGTTTTTAGTGTGTGAGTGTGTGTGTCTTGGGGGGGGGGGTATTATATACAAAATGGGGTTAGTCACGAGATGTAAACAAAGCTAGCGCTAATCCAACCCCTAACCCTAACCCTGGACCTAACCCAAACCTACAATCTCACCAACAATCACGTGCGCTGACCTTGTTTACATCTAGGCGACCTTGACAAAAATTGAACTGGTCTTGACAAATAGATTTAGTCATATAACGGAGAATCTAAACGACGTACAAAGTTTAATAACAATCGCTCCGTTGATCTTTTCCTAAACCTGCCTTTTGTGCAATCGTGCTCACTTAAATGAGCACACCTCTTTGATTGGGATCAAAAATAATAACTTTAAATGTTAAAGGACAATATTGGTGTCAGTCATTATCACATATGTTGTAGAACTGGTTAAACACGTTCCAAATATAATTTTAACACCTACGATAGATGCGTTACGAAACTTTCAAGAAAGGGAAGTGACGAACGCAAAAGGAAAACACGAGTTACCCTTCTATATAACAGACACACTGGCGAATTTCTGCTCACTAATAGTTCCCTCGAAGATCAAACGTTGTTATATGATGCTGTGAGAGGATATCTGATAATTTAAAAAAGTAATCGAATGTCAGTAGATAAGGGAAAACGATAAAAATAAAAATAGTCCGTACATTCCCTTGTTTTCATTCATTCTATATTTAATAAAATCCTGGTAATGCACGGACTTTTTCTAATTTTTTATTTTTATCGTTTTCTCTTATCTAGTGACATTCAATTATTTTTTTTAAAATTGTCAGATATCTCCCACAATCTCATATAACAACTTTTGGTCTTCGAAGTAATTATTAGTGGGCAGAAATTCGCCTGTGTATCTGTTATCAATCGTCACTTCAGTTAGTTATATAGAAGGATAACTCGTGTTTTCCGTTTGCGTCGTTTGTTACTTCCCTCTCTTGAAAGCTTCATAACGCATCTATCGTAGCATTGATCTCTGTGTTAAAATTATATTTGTAACGTGTTTAACCAGTTCTCTCACATATGTTATAAAGACTGACACCAATATTGTCCTTTAATTTGATTTGGCGTATGACATTCTGTCTTAGTTGAACATTTCACCTCATTAGAAAAAGTCATTGTTTAAATATACCCGATTTAATGTTTCACTGTTGACACAATGAAATGAAAAATAAACTTCCGCTTATAGAGTTTCCTGATCAATAATTGAAATAACATCAGATAACCGAATTGTATTATACTCTATTGTGACATATCGAAGCTGTTTAGGTCTTTTTAAAAATACATAGGTAAATTTTAAAATAATCTGTTTTTGAAGCCCTCTGTCAAGCTCGAAGTTTGATGGACATACAAATGGCTTCAATGACAGTTTTCTTTTTTACATTTATTGCATTTTAGACAAATGTTTGATAAGCATTGATTACAGTGAAATATGGTTAAATATAGAATATAGTTCCATAAATCCTAACGTCCAATCAAATTCAAACGTACACATTAAAAATCAATGTAACAAAATGTGAAATAGTTTATCCAATACCATAGTATCAGTTTTCCGAAAGTTAAGCATATTCTTGCCGTGTTCGACAACAGTTTATGAAAACTGTGAATGTGAAAGTTAAATAATATATCCCCATTGAATGTGCTAGTTCTTACAACGGTGATATTTTCCATCAGGAATTCTTATATATTCCGTGTGTGTGTGTGTGTGTGTGGGGGGGGGGGGTAGGTTAGATTTTGTATCTGTGTGGTGTGTATGTTTGTACACATCTTTTAGTTTGCACAATAGAAGGGCGGACAGATGCGTGAGTCAACAATATATAACAGCTCTTAATATAGGCGTATAAGAAAAGGGTGTGCCTGTCTTCTGCATAATCACCAAGTTTCATATTATTATCGTGTTCTGATTTAGCTTTAATAATTACCATCAAATATTTGATAATTTATATTGTACCCTGATGGTTTTACCTGCTGTCTTTTGGTTGGAGAAATATCGTGTCCAGCAGTGTCTGGTGTTACTGATAGTATTGTCCTGTGATAGGTTCTAGACTTTTGACTTTCTATCTCCTATATCTACAACTCGAGGTTCGCATACCCTTCCGTACTATGAACATCAAATAATCGTTTCGCTAACGACACTACATTATACAACATTCTGTATATTAACCGATTTGTACTCTACCCAAAATAAAAGCTTGATCAATTAATTGAGAGTAAACATTTTCATTTTCATTTTTATACCAGTATATAATGTATGATTATAATTAATAATAATAATAATCATTTTGTATAGCGCTGAGTGCTCCAGCTAACAGCTGCTCCGCGGCGCTTTTCACAATTAAAATATTACATATAATATAAAACAAATAGTTCTAAAACATTAAAATGTCAACATGTTCATAGTTTAAAAGCACGTTTAAAAAGTTCGGTTTTAAGATATTTTTTTTTAAAAACAGCAACGTTAGTAGAGTCTTTTACATGTCGAGGTAATTCATTCCACACGTTAGCAGAGGCGTAAACAAAAGCCCGTTCACCAGTTTTAGTTTTTACTGTAGGAACATGAAGTAAGTTTTTATCAGCAGAGCGTAGGTTCCTGCTTGGTTTATACGGGGTTAAAAGTTCATTAAGATATTGTGGGGAACAGTTATTATTTAGACAATTAAAAGTTAAAAGACCGATCTTAAAATTAATTCGTTGATAAACTGGTAGCCAATGAAGATTTTGGAGTACTGGAGTAATGTGTTCAGATTGTTTAGTTAGAGAAACGATACGTGCAGCTTTGTTCTGAATTTTCTGGAGTCTAATCAATGTATTTATATTTTTTTTCGGAAGATGAATTTATATAACCTCCGGCTTGTTTTCAAAACCCATAATTATATACTGTTCTTTATAATATGTAAATATTTACTGAATAACTAGTGTTAGAAGAAATATAAGATTGTGCTGATTGGGCCATAAACTGTGATGGCTTTAAAGCAGGAAAGGTTACTGTGACCAATAAAGATGTTGGGCATATTGTCAAATAGAGAAAATTAAGAGTTTCTAACACGTTTGTGATGAACAAGCTGCAAAACCGTTAGCAATGTTAGTGTCACAGTCATCTTTAGACATCGGAGAATAGTCAGCGGAGCAGTAACCAAAGCATTGAGCGTATGTTTCCAGAATGTCTTTATCCGTTTCATTGTCGAGGTAGTTGAGGAACTCTGTTGTTAGGTCGGCTTTGTAGTTGATTAACCCTTCAGTAACATAATAATGACTTACGCAGCAATGAAAGTAGATAATGGGAAGATTTGGGTGGCTTCCGTAAGTGGTGAGAGCATTTTGACACAATGTTGATGAACCGGTTGGCTGACAGGCAACTTCACAGTAATCTATACTGCTAATTTGTGTTGATGCTGGAGACAATAATAAACATGCCACCGTCATTAGTAGTGTTACCTGGAAGTAGAAATAACCACATCTCATAACTCGGATTTTGACCAATTTCATTCACGTTACAAATTGGATGACAGGTCTTTCGCATTGTTGATCAATGTATTACTCCCCCGAATATGATTGTATGTACCTTATCAATAGTAGCTTCAGCTACTGTATTTAAATTTCTATTTCCACAATTTTGTACACCCTCTGAAAATTGTTACGTATGTTACTCTAGGTTCTTGTATAAGAAATGGTGGTATTGCAAATGCCAGTAGATTTATGTTTCATTCTGAAACATTTTAAAGTAGATGTCAAGAACATACGCATGAATGCTATGACCAGTTAAACATGCATTATGCAAGAGCTAAATCTGATTATTGCAAGTCTTAATTTAGGCTTCATATGTTATAGAAATTATAAATTAGATCTTTATTTAAACAACAAGACCAAAATCAACTCTGTAGACCCACGGATGGCTCGGCTACAGCTCGGATTTAAATAGGATTTCACTAATTGATTAAATCAAATAAGGGGTAACCTGATGAAAATACGTCAGTTAGATCGAGGCTAAATGATAGAGTGTAGTTAGCGAGGCCGCTGTAAAGCGTTTCCAATCCGTATGCCATTGAAAACTTTACTTGATAATCGAGATATGTAGGTGGAGTTAACGCCTGTCAATCAAACGATGGGCGAAGGTGAAGACGCATTTCGCTACCATTTTTAGTCAAATATTACAACGATGATAACTATGTTCAGAATAAAGTAACTTGACTAAATTTTTCGATATATTCTTCTTTCATCATCTACTTTTGAACTGTTATAGCAAGAATGGCCAACTCTTTATAAAAATATCCCATAATGTATCTTTAAGTAATTGATGATTACCCGTTTGGGGTTTAAAAGAACAAAGCGTACTTGATTTTGTCAGATATCATTCTCAGTTTGAGCGGGTTAAAAATGGGACATTTAGAGTTTCCAGTATATAGCTTATAGCTTATGTATTTTTGGTGTATTACTGCTATATTACCACATATTATTTAAAACAACACGGTTTTCCTTAGTTCCTTTCGGAACGGTCTCTGATCGGACGCTGGCCCCTGGCCCTTCCTATTCATCCCTATTAAGCTGCAATATGAAAATACCACTCGTCTCCACCTCTGTTCTATGGCTATTTTGGAATCCTTATCTTCTATTTTTCACCGTGATTATTATTTTTTTTCTGTTTGCCAAAAGGAATCATTTCTCGCCACACCAGACACTAATTTATAATAATTCAACACTATTTTCAAGTAGAATTTGGTGATCCGCCATTACGAGCATTGAACCTGCGCAGACTGCATGTTTTTTTAACCGAAAAGTTCTACTTGGATATAGTGTTGAATTATTATAAATTTGTGTCAGTTGTGACGAAAAATGAATCATGGTGAAAAATAGAAGGTAATGATTCCAAAATAGCCTTAGAAAAGAGGGGGGGGGGGCGGTATTTTCATATTGTAGCTTAATAGGCATGGATAGGAACGGGCCGGGGACAACGTCCGATCAGAGGCCTTTCCTAAAGGAACTAGGTTTTCCTGAGTTTTAATATTAAAAGAACAAAACGTGAAGTCCATAGTGAAATCAATATTTAGGTCCATAGTGAATCCAACTTAAGTCCATGGTGAATTCAAGGCCTTTCTGGATTACAAATAAGATTAGAATTAAAAGTCTGTAAATATGTTTATTTGGGAAAAGAGCATAATATGTGAAAGTAGTCGTCCACAAATTCTGACAAGTAAATTGTGTCTGAGATGGGAAATAGAACGGAAGTCCACCAATTTACATATTTTTTATAGAATCGCTGACATGTGAATTCCATGCCACATTATATTCCCAGTGTATAGGGTGACCATTTTCTATAAAAATTATTCTATGTTAGTCTAACAATTATTGAGATATTGCGAAGAAGAGATGCTAAATCCAATTCCATTTCCCATTTCACTCATATAAATGCAAAACACAAGTGTTAGTCGGAAACGTGGCGGTAGGCTACAGCTGGCAAACACCTTATTATAGAAGAAATCATAATCATCTTAGCTTAATAATCTTTTTTTTGGGGGGGGGGGGGGGCAACTGAGTTAATAATGACATTCATCCCTGCTGAAGAGTACTGCTTGCTACCCGGGGCACCGTTAACATCATTATAGGGCCCAAGCAAAGCAGTAACTCTACCTACACAGCCACTCAGTGGAATGAAAATGTTAAAGGTCGATACAATTAAATATATATTTACTGTATGGATGCACCCAACAAAAATGAGTGTTTAACATTTAAAAATGTACAGCAAAGACGTGGCCCAACTGGCCAGCGTACCCATGAGTTCGGACGATGCTCTTTAAATATGACAACGCAGAACAATATACCGCAAAACTATGAAGCTCCCCGAAAAAATATAAGCGTTGTCAAGGTAAATTAAACACCATCGGTAATATTAAACTTCAATAAATTTTTAGTAAACCAGTGCTACAGAAGTTCTCATTGCGCTTACGGTAGGCAGGCAGGACTATTGGCATTATCCACACCATCATAGCTCTCGAAAGACGTAGCTTCCATCACTAGTCAGGTGAGTTATTAATCTGATTGCCCAAGACTGAAAACTTAATCCGTTCTCCAGGTGTCACAATCAGTTGGCAACCTGACAATTCACGTTAAAGTATGGCGAATAGACAGGAGCGACGGTTTTGTGCTGACCCTTTAAATCGTCATCGAAAGCTGCAAAAGACGGATTTACGCGACGTCTCTGCTGTACTTCTTGCTCTGCATCCCTCAAGACTACAGAAGGGACAGCTTTTGTGTACTGGATGTCGCAAGGCTTTGAAAGCTCTTTCTACCGAGAAACGTCAGCAGGCTTCATTTTCAACATCTACTACAGAGGACACGTTGATGCCGAATTTATCGAACCTATTTCAGAAACAGAAACAGAAACACTAAGTCAGACACTTGAAGCGATTGGGGAAAGTCCTTTCTTGAAACGGAAATCGGATAGATTGGCTATTTATAGGACGGAGAAGAGAAGTAAAGTAGAAGCTTTAGTGAAGCGAAGGCTAGATGTGGATGCAAGACCCAGTGAAGAGCGATGCGATGTCAACTGCTTGCCGAATTTGATCAAAGGACTCAAGGATAATTTCGCTACCTCTGACCGCAGTGAAAAAGTGCAAATTTTGATGCGAGTACAGCAATGCTGAGGATGAAGGACTTGAGACTGTAACTTCTGTGGCTTCAGACCCATTATTCATCGGAAATTCACCTGGCTACGTCACTGCTAAATATGACAGACGTTGCTGGCTGGGTTATATTACGGAATTCCGACAACAGAGACAGGATGCACTTATAGACTTTCTAAACGTGAAATGACCGAATCAAGTAAAGCTCTGTCAAAGAGACATTGATTACAATAAGCGGATAGCGTGTAGGGGTACCCATCTTTGGTGTTCATTTTGACCGTGTTCCCATGGAGATCCCACTCTAATTTTTGGTGTGTATGACGATTATAGGATATGTCAATTTGGGGGGGGGGGGATGGCTTGATCGATTTGTGATCCTGGTAGAGTTACGTTAAATGCTGAGTATTTCGATACCAATATCATCGAGATCGGACAACTGTGTGTTGAGTTATGGCTGATAGAAGTTGCGAAGTCAGTCGGATGGCCCAAATCATTGGTGGCCCATTAGGCCCTATGACAAAAAACTTTGGGATGGTGTTTTCTTTCCAGGTGGACAACAATTCCTGCAAGTTAGGTCAAAATCGGTGACATAGTGTCATAAAAGTGTGTACATTTGACGTGGAATGCCCCAGCTAGGCTTTAGCCTTCTTACTTTACAAGTGGCCCAATGAGTAATGTACTGACGCACTAAACAGGGTTTGATCCCGTGGTTAACCCATGCCAGTGGCGCAGGGCTGGCAAAGGAAGAGCATCTAGTCTTTCTTGACTTGGCCAGAGATATTGGATAATCAACCACATAAAAAAAAAAATGCCGGTTACGCATGGGCAATGGAACTTTTCGTCAAATATTGACGACAGTCCCAGACCCTCCGTACGTTGAAGACTAGGAGGTTGTGGGTGACCGAGACTACACTTGCGTAGAAGATCGCAGAACTGGTCGTAGAGACTTTTGGTCCTGCGCCGTGCACTTACAAACTTTCCACACGTTTTCTTGCGGCTGGTCTGCATGCTACCAAACCAAACCACCCAGGCGGGTTGTGAGCTAGGCTTTAGCCATCTTATTATACATGTATACAAGTGGCTCAATGAGTAATGTATTGGCGCGCTAACCCATGCCAGTGGTGCAGGGCTGGCAAAGGAAGAGCATCTAGTCTTTCTGACGAGACGAAACCCCGAGTATGACATTTAACTAAGTTCATTTCATTGTATTTACAAAGCTACAAAATATAGCTCGATGTTGCGAGTGGGTGTAAAGTATACACCTTAAGACCTGCCCACAACCAGCCCTACGTGCTACCACGTGCAGTTTGCGGGGGAAATTTTAGTAAACCCGTGCGTGAAACTTACGTGCGCGTCCGTGTGTTCGATACCGTAAAAGATCACAGACTGCCTGTAGGGACTTTTGGTCCTGCACATACAAAATTTTCACAGGGTTTCTTGCAGCTGATCTGCGAGCTACCAGACCCTACGACCCGTGCGTGTCAAAACACGTACGGCGGGTTGTGAGCTGGGCTTAACAACTATGCTACTATCAGTAACTAGCCCGTTCAGAGGCTTATTTTAAAACCAGTTCATAATCGTTGGGGCTTTTAAGACAGCATCTTGTTGTATTCACACGTACTATAAGCCAAACCAGTTTAACTATTCTGACCTCTTCGGTCGGAGGTTAGAGTTAACTACGCATGGGTAGCTACATATTCTTTATTCGGTTCTCGCACGCGTTGGATAACATTGGCACTGTCTGACCCCGATATTTTCACAGGAATATAACTTACTGCGTACTGCGCATGCTCAAAGCAAGCTGGAGCCGTTTTTTTT